CTGCCCCTGGTCATCCAATCCACAATTTCAGTGGTAGCAATCCCCAATCGGGAACCGGAAGGCAGCTGAGGATACTCTTCGGATAAAAATGGACTCTGGTGGAATGCTCTACAACAGCGTTAGAAAAAAACTGGATCAAGATGGACGTCTCTGGCTTGGACGGTCGCTGGGACTCGCAAAACTGTGTCGACTGGTTATTTTGAAGCCTTGTGCCTCCTTTTTTTCGTTGGTTCTGCTTTCTTGGATCGATTTTTCGTCCCTTCCCTTCAAAACGCTGGTCAGCAGAAGGAAGGGCAATAACCATGTTGCCAGACGGAACCACGACAAAGACTGCTGATATTTGGGAGCGAGATACACTGATTTAAACGGTTTACTAAATATAAATGATATTAAGAATAAAATAATCCCTAACTCAACAAATTCTTTACCAATTTCGGTTGACTACAAAATACTAACACAATTCAGGCCTTAATCCAACTTACGAGCTAGCAGACAGGTGGACCGCTAGTTAAATTCAAAAATTAACCGTCACAATTTCATATTTAATATATTGTTCGTTGTGCGTTTCAGGTTCATAATTGTCTGTAAATTTAATAATATTATGGACAAGACAAACGAACGTTTGAAGAAAATATGGAAGAAAATTGAAAAATTATTTTATTTTAGACTCGACTTCTACACATCTAGAATAGCTATAATATGAAACTGTGTCCAAGGACAGCGCAAAGAAAATTATAATATTTCCAAATATTTTGCTGAAAACTGTGTCTTGGCAAAATCTTCGAAACTAAAGAAAACAAACTTTGAGGTAAAATCAATATTAGTAATGAACAGAAGGTAAAAAAAGTGAGCAAATAACATTTGTATTAGGCAATGTATTCAATTCTGGCTTTAACTTCTCATGCTTTAGGCCAAATTCTAGAGATCTTTCATTTGCCCCTGGGAGTGGGAATAAATTCATTCGATCATCATCATCCTCTTCATACGCCTCCTCAAAGTGTTTCGTCGCAGTCCAGTGTGCAACAATCCTCTGCTATCCCACATCTTGTGCTATATTTTCTAAGTCTTGTAGAAGATCGTTGACTTAGCCGAGATTGTCGGTTGATGCACTTAACAACACTGAAAAACGAAATAAACTAAGGGATGATTTAAACAGGAGAATATCAGATAACCGAGGCAAACATAGAGCAACAGTGGAATGACATCAAGGTAAACATACAAGAAGCTACAGAGACGGTTTTTGGATACAAAAATACAAAAAGAGACAAGCTAAGAAAGGGTGATTCTGGATACGATGCAGGAAAGGAGACTAGCAAAGGGTAACACACTGAAATGTAATGAAATCCACAGAAATATTCGTTGCAGGGCCAGAGAGGCTAAGAACACATGGTTATTTAAACAATGTGAAGAAGCAGAAAAATTGCACGAAAATCGTATTAAAAGCGACAACCAACACATTTAAGAAGGCAAATATCTCAAAAATCACTGAAAATAACCAGATGCTAAAAGACCCCCAGGACACACAGGGTGGTTTTTTAGATCCGTTGGTGTTTTTATATAAAACTTTCGAAGAATAGTTTTATATAAAAGTTGTCGACTCACAAAGTGTGCACATTTTCGAAATATTTTATATGATACAGAGTGTCTCAGAAAGGCGAGGTACGGTCAAAGTGTATTTTATTAAATAGAACTACCCATATATGCATATGCACCGTAAATTGTTTTTTCTTGCTAGCGGCGTTGACAGATTATCG